GATGAAGATGTAAAGATGGATAAATTCAGGGTCTAAAGGATTATGCAACATGGGGAACTAATATGGAATCAAGAGGTCAGTGAAGACTTGTACATTTAATTTTTAAGCACTCAAACTATAGCAAAGACACTTTCTCCTCCAACAGTTATGCTTTGCCACAGGAAAAACTTGCCTGGCCCAAGTCAAAGCACACATAGGGTGTGCCTCTCTACCATCCCATCAAAGCATTCTCAAGAATCTTGCTGAAATGAATCTTAAAACATAATGATACATATCAAATTCCCAGTGCCAGGTGTGATGTTGCATGTCTGTAACTCAGGCACTCTGGAAGGCTGGGACAGGAGGATCACAAGTTCAAGCCAGCCTAGGCAACTTGGAAACTTAGTAAGATCCTCTCTCAAAATAAAAAATAAAAAAGGACTGGGGAGGTAACATAATGTGAAGGCACTGGGTTAAATCTCTAGTACTGGAGATTTTTTAAAAAGTCTATGCAGAACAGTTCACTTGAAATGTTGAAATGGTAGCGGTTATGACACAGCACTTTAGGTTCACCGTAATCCATAAGCATTATGCTCTGGTTAACTATAAATGCTTTACCACAATTAACGATGTATGCAGCATTAAGCTCTGAGTCCAGGCAATGACAGACTTATATGGAAGAGATAATGAGGAATGTAGAAGTGCTTCCAGTTAAATTCACTCACTTAGATGTGGCCAATGATTCTTCTCAATGGTTTGCAGAATTTGTGAAATGTATCCATTCTAAACCTGCAGAACATAGCATTATGTCTGGGAATGCGATGACAGGAATGGTATAACATCTTGTGTTTCTGTAATAGAAACAACATCAGAGGAAAGCAGCCTAGGTTCTGTGTGTAATGTACCAGTTGAACCAGTACCTGGGTGAACCACCTTCAGCGTGCAAAGTGATAAAATGTGCTGAATCTCCTTCTACTCTAAAGGGGCAAAGCATCTTAGATGGAAGTTGCTTCGGTATATACTATGCTAAACCTTTGGATCTGGGGCAGAGTTTTCTATGCTGGGTAAGATGTTTTTGAGCCATATAGAATGTGCTAGAGAAGTGGTGGAGAAGACTGTTCAGCTCCAGTTCTTCTATAGGATGTACTTTTAAATAGCAATGAAAGCAGAAGAAAGATTGGGGAGAGGTTGGTCAATGGGTACAATTACAAACAGGAGGAATTGGTTGTGGTCTTCAACTGCACAGTAGGGTGGCTATTGTTAACAATAACTTATTGAACAGTTAAAAATAGCTAGAAGAGTGGACTTGAAATTTTCTCACCAAAAGTAATGATAAATAGTTGAGGTGACAGATACGCCAGTTACCCTGATCAGCTCATTATACAATGTATGCATGTATTGTGACATCACACTGGTTACTACACAATGTATATGTATTAAAACATTACATTGTATCCCATGAATATATTATTGTCAATTTTTTAAAAATTAATAACAGCAATGAGAAAATATGTTGGAAGAGCTGCCGTAACTGTAGTCTCAGAATACAAGACAATGGAAGGGACTTTACAAAAGGAATAAAGAAAATATTCCTCTGTATATCATAGTCTTATACAAGAGTTTCTTGTATGAGAGTGTATGGGTACCTCTGAAAGGCAAAATGGAGCCCGTTTCCTCCTCTCTTCACTTAACCTGGAGAACTTTGGGCTTTGGAACTATCCCTAGTGCCTGTTCGTTGCACAAAAACAGGACAGTGATTGGCTGAGGGACCCAGGGTGTCTACTTTTTAGAACCCATAATTTCACTATCAAAATTGGTGAACCTTTTTCTTCATTGTTTAAAAGCTCAATTTCTCTAATAGCAGGCCAGTACACTATCTTAAAAATTTTACTTAAATTTAAAAATCTACTCTGACTAATTTAATTTCAAAGGTAGCTGAGTGTTGCACTGTTGCATTAAAATTGCTCAGGGACAAAGATGAAGGAGAAGGTCTACATTGCCTGCTGCTCTGTCAGGTGTGCATTAGTGAGCTTATTGATGTCTCTTGTGAGTATTTAGGGCAATAAGTTCAATATATGCTTCTAGTAGCACCATAAAAATTGTATTAAGCTTGCTTTAATTACATATGAGCAGAATAAATGGAGGAGAGGTAGTAAAACTTCTACTTCAATTTTTGTGCTGGCAGAAAGATTTGTAAGCTAATTGGCAAACTTTTTTTTTGGTATCAGGGATCAAACTCAGGTCTTGCATGTACTAGGCAAGCGTTTTCCCACTGAGGTACATTCTTACCCTCAGCAAACTCTGAAACACTGAGATTTCTGGGAAACACACTGGTTATCATTAAATGAGTCACTACAGAAGCATGAGAGCTAAAGCCTACTAATCCCCTTCCCCAATCCATATCTGAGCATCTGCTTGGTTAAGTGTCCCCCAACACACACATATATACACACTCAGGGGGAGGGAGAGACAGAGAGACGGGGCGGGGAGAGAAAGGCACTAGGCAACATTAGCTAAGGGCTACACAGGAGGTGCAGCAGAAACAGGAGAGGGAAAGATCACTTCCAGCTGACCAGAATCTAAGATAACAAGGATGTCAGTTGGCAGGGAAGGACTTGTATGGAAGGACAATTAGAGGAATGAATGAGGAATGCTTGTGATACAGTGAGTGAGGCAAAGAAATGCATGGATAGGCTGGGAACAAGTATTCTGGGGCTCAGTTCTGATGGATGTTTAATGTGAGAATGAAAAGCGTATGATTTACTGTGTGAGTGGTGGGCTTACCATGGAAGGCCTCTGGGAAGGAGACTGAGTTGAAAGCACAGAGTGTGAAGTTTAATTTGATGTTAATGTGAGATCAATTGGAAGGAGAAAGGAAGGTACTGGAGGCAGGTAGTTCAGCTATGAAATGATAAGGGCCTAAGCATATACATAAATGTATATAACAGCTGTCTTCATAGTCGCTCAGCACTGGGAATAACTCATATGTCCTTCACTCATTCACGAATGAATGAATGAAAATTACACCTGCTCCTTAAATCTTACACTCAATGGCAAGACACACCAGGAACACTTTATTCCATGTGTTTCACCATGAATTATTTCCCTACAAGCATTTATTGTTAAAAACAAAATGCTTCAGCAGGTGAATGGATAAATTGTGGAATATCCAAATAACAGAATACTATTTGGTAAAAAGAGAAAGATGAACTACTGATACATACAGCAACTTAAATGGATGTTCGGGGCATTATGCTGAGTGAAAGAAGCCAGTCTCAAAATGTTATAAACTGTATAAAATCATTTATATACATTCTGAAAAAGACAAAGCTATAGTAGTAGGGTATAAATCAGTTATTGCCACAGTTTAGGGAAGGAGGTAAGATACGGCTACAAAAGGGCAGCATGAAGCAATTTGGAAGAGGTGATTCCTCATTGAGTGGTAACATCTGAAAGAGTGAAATATTTGGTGGTAGGTGGTATTAAGTCTTTGTAACTTGCTTGCTGTATTTATATTACATTCTCACTCAAATAATAGGAATTGTATCCTTCATCTGTGAGATAAAAACTTCAGACTTAAATATAAATTATAAAACATTAAACGAACACAATATTTTTTACAGCCATTTTATTCTCCCTGTTGGGTTCTATTGTTGGTTAAGGCATCCTGCTGTGATCACCCTAGACAGGAGACCCTTGCTATACTTTCTCTTCTTGATTCTCCAGCTGGCTTCATTGGTATCACTACACTTCCAGATACCAGTGAATTCTGAGTTGGGAGATGAGTTTCTTCTTTAAACTAATACTGCTTTCTTATGGCAACGATGCTGTCTCTGCTTTCTCATCAGAACAATTACACATGCTAATCATTTTTTAAATGCAGCACAGTAAACGAATCAGAATATCTCTAATGCCACGAATGAATAAATGAAAATTACACCTACTTAATAAATCTCACCCTCAATGGCAAGACATGGGAACACTTTATTCTGCATGTTTCACCAAGAGGTATTTCCCTACAGACACTTGTTCACAAAAATGCTTCACAAAAAGACAACAGAGCTCCACACAAACTCCAGTAGGTGAAAACCAGGCTTTTCAGTGAATTCCTCTGATTAACAAAGGCATTGGGTCCTACAGATGCTTATGAGGCAAGGAGGTCTGTGCGAAGCACTCACTTAAAACCCAAGTGGAAGACACCAGCAGTCATCGATGAAATGGTTAAGATATCTATAGTCAGAAATGGTGGCCCACACCTGTAATTTCAGCGCTGGGTCAGAGGAATTGCAATTTTGAGTCCTGCCTGGGCAAATTATAGAGCCCTCTCTCAAAATTTTAAAAGGAGTGGGGGGAAGTAGTTCAGTGTAAGGTCCTGGATTTGATCCCCGGTGCTGGAAGCGGGGAAAAAAGTCAGCTATCTAAGACACACTTACTTCAACCAGAAAGAAAGAGTAATAGATTATTTATACAAAATTGCTAAAATGGTAAAAACACGTCTCCTTCCACAGATTAATTTAGGAGCCTTTCTTTTAAAAAAGCCTTTTTAGAAAGATTTTAAAATTCTAACACATCATTATGTTATAAATACGGTCATTTTATTTTTAGCCATTAGGGAACTTTTTCTGGTTTTAAAAATTGATTTAACTAAACGAATTTTTCCTCTACAGTGTTAAATATTGCTTGTGAGGTAACCCTTTTAAAACATCATTTTGAAAAGTACACTAATTGGTTAAAACACAAAACTATTCAAGAGCCCTAGTGAAATCCCACTCTCACCCCTGAGTTCTTTTCCCACCCCACCTACCAATTTCACTCATTTTAATACAGGATAGGATTGCAGAGGAAATGGTGGGCCTTGGGTTTGGGGGAGGGGAGGTGGGCGTATTGAGAGCCAATAGGAAGAGACGATTTCCTAAAGAATTTGAAATGGTCTATTAACCCTAAAAGAGCTGCTCTTAGCTGGTAATTGGAAAAAGACGTATAGATACTCCAGGGTGAAGTTATCAGTTTTATTGTCTCTGATTGGCAAATACGAAAGAAAGATTGACTGTATCAAGAGGAGGGAATGCAGGGGCGGGCTGCTGTGCTAAGGGGAGGGGTAACTGAGGATCAGAGCTCATTGATGACGCGACCCTCACGTGACAAACAGTCGACGTGTGCAGAAATCCGTATAGTCCAGGCCCGTTTCCCTGTGGCAGCTCCGTTTTGCTAGAGAAGAAGGAAAGTGCCCCGGATCCTTTCAGGTAGTGTAAAGGTAGGCGCTGATTTGGAGACCCTAGGGTGGAAAAGGCAGTCAGCAGAAAACAAGCGAGGCCGGTCCTGTTCTCCCTACACTACTGTACGGCCAAACTTCCATTTTGTGCAAGAAATTTGGGGTTGTTTGGTGGGGGTGGGGAGGAGAAGGAGAAAGGTAATTAATTGGCGGGGGCGGGGAGAGAGGGGAGAGGAAAAGGGACAGGGCAGCGAGAGTGAGAGAGCGAGAGCGAGAGCGAGAGCGAGAATGAGCGAGAGGGAGAGAGACCGACAGAGGGACAGGAAAAAAACAATCTGGAAAAAAAAAAACTTGCCTCAAACGGTGGGCACAGAGGGTGAATGGTGGAAGGTAATAAAGATTGCGAAACTTTAGAGCAACAAGGGCTATAATTGTAAAAGGGACCCTTTGATCCAGGTACCGGAGGGCTCACCAAGCGAGCATACCTGTCTGCAGGACTCTTGGTCTTTTGGGCCCGACACAAGTTGAGGTGAGGGAAGAGGGAGGAAAATCCCCTGGATCCCTGCAGGTCAGTGTAAGGGTACTGCTGCTTCAGGTTCCTTTGCGTGGGGGGTGAGTGTGGATGACACCAAAGCACATCCCAGGGGCGCCGCCGCCTCTACTCATCGGGATTAAGCCAGGGAGGCCTGTGCAGAGCCTGCAGCTGAAATGGGTGGGGGAGGGGGAGGCCGAAGAGACGTGGAAGAGGAAGGGAAAGCCGAAGATTGGACCATCTCAGGTAAAAGTCTGGAGTTTGGGACGGCTCGGGAAAGCCAGAAAGGGCGGGAGCATTGGAGACTCTTGGCCAGGCAAGAGTTAATAGCTTCTGAGCTGCTCGCGTTTCAGGGCTGGGAGAGGCTTGTAAAGCTGGGCCTGCTGGGAAAATGGTGGGCTGGAGCTGGAGGAGAGAAGATGGAGCTAGAGTGAGCGGGGGAAGGGAAAGGGGGTGGAGTGAGGGGAGTTCTGAGCTTGAGGATCTAGCCTTGTCCAGTTGGAAAACTTGACAGTTCACAAACTGATATGAGTTGTTTGTCTGTTTGCCTGGCAGGTAATAATTTTGTTTCCTTGTTTCCTAGGATTAATTTGTTTGAAAAGAAAATAAAAAATACTCAACATGCAAAATTCTTGTGAAGAAAACGAAGGAAAACCAGAGAATATGCGAGAGGCAGAGGAACACCGCCCTTCAGAAGATTCACCACAGGAGGCAGATAGAAATCCTCAGCCTTCTGAAGAAGGGAGAAGACGGGAAGCAGAGAGAAACCTTAGAGGAGGGCCTGCTCAAACTGGCCAGGAATTTAAAGAGGACATTCCAGTTAGGCATTTGGACCCTGAAGAAATGATAAGAGGAGTAGATGAGTTGGAAAGGCTTAGGGAAGAGATAAGAAGAGTAAGGAACAAGTTTGTGATGATGCATTGGAAACAAAGACATTCACGCAGCCGTCCCTATCCTGTGTGCTTCAGGCCTTGAATTCTTTTTTGTGTGATATTAAAATCTGGCCCTTGCTTTCTTCCTGGTAGCATTTTCTGATGTATCTTTGACCTTTGTTTTACTTTTAATTACCTGGTGGTATTTTATTTTAGGTAGTTTTCTTGTTACCAGCATCTCATTGGATTTTGAATTTTGGTTTATTTTTCAATTGGAAAGTTTCACACATATGCATGGAAATATGTTCAATCTGTTATATAGTGAAACATGATAGGTTACAAACAGCATATTTAATATCAGCTCACATATGTAGGATAAAATTCCAAATTGTGTATGCGTGCACGATGTGTGTGTATATATATATATATATATATGTATATATATATATACACACACATATGTATCTGAAACACTGAACCGTGCAAATTTCTTTGTGGTGCAAAGTTTTGTTTTTGTTTTACTTTTTGCTTATGTGTCTTTTTTTTAATGAACATGTATCTCACCATATAGAAAGTTGAGAATTTTTTTATGAGAGTCAAAAGGTAATTTGCAACCAGCTTAAGGGCAATGGGGGCACTTAAACTCTTGATGAAAGAACTATAAGGAAGAAATGTAAATCTCAAATTACCTCTGGATCTCTTAGCCAGAGGAATAAAACTGGCAATTCTGAAAGATATACTTGCTTAAGACTCCGTCTTTTCATGGGGAAATATTTGCCTCACAGGTCTGCTATAGGACAGAAGTGATCCACTATGAACTCAGAGTTATGCTTGGTGGCAGCTTGTTCAGCCTGTGCATATAGCTTGTTCAACCTGCCGTGGAAGCATCATCATTTGAGAGGGCAATGGGATGACTCAACCTGTGCTCAGGAGCAAGTGCAGCAGGTAGAGCAGTGGGGTACCATGCCAGTCCACTGCTGTCGAGGCCTACCCTTTTCTCTGGGTCCATCCATACTTATTGGCCACCACTGTTTCTTCTGCAGGGTCCTTCACTCTGCTGGCCTCCACCTCTACTGATTCACGAGGCCTTACTTGTCAAACCCTGCTGAGATTCCAAGAGTCCCCACAGAGTTGAATTTCCACTGTCTTCTTAAGCCTGTTTGCTTTTTAATGTCACTTAACATAGGTGGGACCACCTTAGCGTTGTTGGGGATACAGTGTCTTGCACAGTGCTTAGCAAAGAAACCCTTCTGCTTTCAATCACAGAGTCCTGCATATCCAAGAGTCGTATGTGATGAATTCATCTGGGAGTTGAACCTGGGTACAGGTTTGAGTGAAAGACATTATGCTATATTTAAGAGTTGATGCTCTTGAGTTCAAGGAGAAAGATCTTTTCTTCTGAGATGATCTCTCCCTGAATGCCCCTGCCAGGACTACTTGACAGGTTCAGGAGACTCTCAGGGGACATGTATATATTGCACAAAGTAGTATTAGAAACAGATCTAAAGGGAACAGCTCCCTGTTCCTTATTACTCCTGAAACATGTAAGAAATACTTTGTAAGACTAAAATATGTAGGGGTGTGTGTGTGTGTGTGTGAGTGTGTGTGTAGCTAAGGAATAGTCCCCACTCCTTAATTCCATCCCTTGTTGAAACGTGGTAAAAACCATAAAAACTTTCAAAGACACTAAAATATGATAAATGTGCTTGGACTAGAATGGCTACTATATAAAAGTTTGGTATTATATTGTCCCTGTAAAAACAGACTGTCTTTTCCTCCAAATATCCCCACATATTTGTGGGTGCTTGACACATCATGTTTTAGTATTTAGTTGATTTTAAATGGTTATTATTAGGAAGCCAGATTATTATGAAAGAGTCAGATTTGTCCTTATTCTCTTACTAAATAAGCTTATGCAAGACTTGATTTCTCTAAATTGATGACAAGCAATTGCAAAAGGAAATATGACAGAGAATGGATTATACTCCTAAGTGTTTTATATCAATATCTTGTGTTATTCCATCAGATTTAGCTAGAGAACATCTTGAAAATATGGATTTTGGGGGTCCACAAAAGACCCACTGATCCACACTCAGAAAATGGGGTGTAAAAACAACATAGCTAATGAAGTTGTCCAAGTGCTTATAATCTACACTGAACAATGAAGATGACTGGTCCATACAGTATGCTTTCCAGTATTATACACATGGACCATGAAATAATTAGAAGGAAATATTGGTGAATGCTTACCAAAATTTAAAAATAGAAGGCCTATGCAAACATTCATTTTAAAGTATGGAGTTTTGAAGGCAAAAGATTAACAGATCGCTACAGAAAAATTTAAAGATTCCTGTTAATAAAGATAAGAAAAAAAATGCCAAGGAAGGGGATATAATATGAAATTTTCTTTCTTCCTATATGAACAAAAAGTATCAAATAAATTCCACATCGACTTTTTGTGATCATCTCACAAAATAATGAACCAGACCTGTGCCTTTGGTTTTATATATATATATATATATATATATATTCTGCATGATGGTGTTTTTGGAGCTCTTAATGCCTCCAGACTGCTCCTCAATTTGTGGCATCCTGAAGGATGCTGGTAGGGATGAAATTAAGTTGGAGTGGGATCAGATTTCAAGGGTCACTGTGCCCGTTTCAGCAGACAGGACAAATTCAGCTTCCTGACTTTCAGAGATGAGATGCTCAGGCAATATGTAGAAGGCCTCACCCAAGCCACATTTCTGTCCAGGATGGATCTGCGATTGGGCTTTCTGCCTTTAGGCCCGTGGCCAGGGTGTCCTGGACAGGCTTACCTGGATGAGGATGGCTGTCTCTACTGGAGGTCAGAGTATGTTGCCTTTTCCTCCTTTTCCATGGTCTTTGAGCAAGCAGGTGCCTTTCTGGAGTCTGACCAGATAACTTGAGGTTAAAGCAGAAGGTGCTAACCTTCCTTCAGAGTCAGTACAGTGGCTCCCAAAACTACTAGGACCCAGATCATGTTAGCTAGCAGACCTTACCCACCCCTCTCCCACCCATCTTGTTCATACTCCCAAAAGGGTCTGGGATATGCCCTGACCTGTTTTGGTTTTTTGGTGATGGTGGTGGTGGTGGTTCTCCAGTGCCTTACCTCTGCCTGCTTGGTGCTAGGCATCCGATGTCTCAGTCATCCTCAGCCCACAAGTACAGGAGACCCCAGGTGAAGGGAGCTTAAAAAGGCATGTTTACCTACAACTCAGATGAAAGGGGGTCTCACCTCCTGTCTGAACACCTACATGTATTACAGTCTCAACCTTTGACTTACAGTTGGACTGTAAATTATTGTGAAGATGACTTTTTAAAGCATTGATGGTAGAGATCAATACAATTAAACCTTGCTCTTCAAATTTCAGACATCATAAAGGACTGTTTGGGCAATACGGGGAAAGTTAAAATTCAAACCTTTTGGATTTAAGAAGGCAAAGTGGTTAAAAATATTTCCTGATGGCCAAATAAACCTGGGTACCAGTCTGGGCTCTTCTCTCTACTGGTATGTGACCTTTTGTAAATTGATTCTTCCCTTTTTTGAGGACACCTATAGTTTTGGACACCAGGACATCCATAGTGTCCCAAAACATAAGACTCTTAGATCAAACAAAAAAATCCACCATCATTCCTATCATCATTATCTTCATTATAACTAAAAGTTGATGTTGACTGAATATTCAGCAGATTCAAATTAGGTTTGTCTCATATTGTGAAGTTTTAAAATTATCAAGCCCTAGAAATCTATTGTTTAAAGAGGAATTCACTGGCTAGAATTGAATTTCTTGTTAATAAAAAATATGAGGTCCGATTGGCTCCTTCATCTAAAAACAGTTATAGCTGGGCATCGTGATGCAAGCCTGTAATCCCAGCCCTTGAGAGGCTGAGGCAGGAGGATTGCCATGAGTTCAAGGCCAGTCTGGGCTACATAGTGAGTTCAAGGGCTGCCTGAACTACATGAAGAGCCCCTGTCTGAGAAAACTAAAAAAAAGTTATATTCATAATAAAATGAAACTGGGTCATGGAAAATAAATGCAGATAATTACATGGAATGCCAAGCATAGAAAAGACCTTCAGAAAATATTAGATTGGCAGTCATTATTTTTCAGTATTGTCATCATCACCAGGGGGTAATGTTAAGGCAATACTCAAATAAGAACTCAAAAAGTCTGTGCCTCCTTAACTGACTCTGCACTGCTCCTTTAAAGTACAAACCAAACATATTCCTTTCGCCCAGCATTCTGCCTTACGTAAAAGAAGTGACTTCTATTCAAGCTAAATGAAGTAACTGTCATTCATTTGGAATTTGAAAAATAATAACTCATTTCTATATATTTATATTACTTATGCACCCTGGTTCTATTTCTATACTTTAAGATGCAAAACCAATAACCAAGCAAAAAATAAACCTTAATGTTTTCATTTTGCTTAGGTACCTGCCAGAAAATTTGAAATCATGAGGAAAATCTTACTGCTATGAATCACCAGACATGATGGAGATCTATATCACTGACACAGAGAGGTGTTCCTGGTATACTGTTTCATTGAAAAGGTAGTCGTGTGCGCGCGCATGCGCGCGCGCACGCGCACACACACACACACACACACACACACACACACACACAGAGGTTAACAAGCATATCAGAAATTTGAAGTGAATATTTTTGGGTTATATAATTATTGAACATTTATAGCTTCATCTTTATTCTTTCTATTTCCAGTTTTAATTTTTTTCAATGCATATATGGTATTTCAAATAATCAAAAAGGTAAAAACATTATAATTTCACTTCTTTTTCTTTAACCAATATAGGGGCTGTTGACCCTTCCAATCCATCATTTGTTTCCTTTTGTATCTTATTTCTTAGAGGAAGTGCTGGACTTTTGTGCATCCTGACTGAAAAGCTTCCCTTGTCTACCTTACCAAAGTGTCCCAGTCAGCTAAACTTGTACAGTAGTTCTGTCTTTGGTCACATGGTGGTGTGCCACAGCTACTTTCTAAATATTCTCCAATAAAATTACATTAATGTCTTAAAATAAAATAGAAATAAACATGACTTTCAAAAAACATCATGAAATTGATTCCAATCATGTTTAAAAATATACAGATACACAAAAATACTGGAAGGGTATGCATTGAATCGTATTGTAGAGACTTCCAAATTCACATTTCATTTATTTATTCATTAAAAAATATTTACTGGAAGACTAATATATGTCAAACTGTGTTAGCCAAAATCCACTTGTACATTCAATACTTTTCTCCTAAGCCTCTGTGTTCAACTATCTGGCGGAACTGGCCACTTGGATCAAGATAAATACATATTATTATCCAGCCATATAGACATAATTCTGCATGGACACATACCATTACTTTTAGCCAATTTATTCCTTAATCCTGGAAGTTAACTATATGAAGTGGAAAGAGAATTTTAGAAGTATACTTTTTTTTTTTTTTTTTGGTTTTTCTCCAGTACCGGGAACCGAACTCACGACCTTGCGCTTGCCAGCCAGGCGCTTTGCCGCTGAGCTAAATCCCCAGCCCGAGAATTTTAAAAAACAGAGAAAGCACAGGTATTACAGACAGGAAAGCCTGTGTTGAAACAGCCATTTTCTTATTTCAGAACTCTTGTAACTGGTCAACAAGATTCTTAGTAACCCAGGAAGTGAATTAATAATATCAGGTTTCAAATGCAAGATTTACCTCTATT